CATGCCTCCCCTCCTCAGCTCAGCACTTTGGAAGGGAAGGGAGGGCTGCTCTAGGGCTACCTGGCTTCTTGCCTGAGCCACTGCAGGCATGTGCCTGCATTTCTGGGGTTCCTGTACAGTTACAAACTGATTCAGCCTAGCCAGGTTAGACAAACCTAAAAACACTGAATCAACTCAGGATCAGGCATTTTGAATGTCTGTCCCTAGCCTAGGAGGGTAGTAAAACACTAGAACAGGCTACCCAGAGAGGTTGTGTAGTCTCCATCCTTGAAGCTTTTTAAGACCTGGCTAGACAAAGCCTTGGCTCAGATGATATAGTTGGGGATGGTCCTGCTCTGAGCAGGGAGTTGAACTGGATGACCTCCTGAGATCCCTTCCAACCCTAATTTTCTGTGATTCTCTTATAATGAGAGAAGTTAAATTTTATGAATAACCTTAAGGAAGAGTGTTATGAATAACCTTGAAAATGGGGACAAGAAACCTGAATTTAACATACTCATTCAGAAACAGCCAGGTGAAGAGATGAAAAAGAGTGATACTCTCAGGTCTACAAGCAAAACAGTTAGTCTCAGCAGTTGTGACTTGCATGGACTGGAACACTATCCTTTCAGTGTTAGTGAAACCCAAGAAGCTGAAGTTTAGTGATTAGGGGAGGTAAAGCACTGCACAAGAATTTCTCCTGTCTGAACAGAAAGAAAAGGACAGACCTCACAAATGTCATGGAAAATCCAAAGTTTATATGCCTGACAGATAAAGAGGAAGGTAGTATTGCCTACAGTGATGCAAACAATAGGAAGTGGAGCTTTTGGAAGATGGAGGGAGGGGGGAGCAGGAAACAGGCATAGATTTTTTTCCTCTGGAGGAAAAAAGAGAGTAAATAGAGGTAGACTGACCTGGGTCTCTAGTCGAGACCCATGAGTCATCAGCGTAAGATGGTACTATATATAGTGTGTGCAAATGAAGTCAATTGAAGGGAAAAAAAGGCCAAAGCATAAACGTATGACTCTTCAATGGAGAACAGAGGGAAGGAGAAGTAGAATCCAGTTAAGGTGGGATGGAGGGATTAGAGAAAAAGGAAAACCAAGAAACAAAAGCATCACAAAAACCATATAAGGACAAGGTTTCAAGAATGAAACTCTGACAGATATTTCCTGTCAAGAGGGGAGTTCAAAAACAAAGATGGAATGGAAGCCTTGAACTCTGGCCAGGAAAAGATCATTGAAGAACCAAATAAAAGTTTTTAGGAAGTGGGCTGGATGGAAACTAACAGAGGTAACCAAAATACAACTGAAGGAGACAAGGGAACACCATAAACTAAACATCTCTTCTTCACTTTTCAACACTTCAGAAGTTAGCTGGATTAACATTTATTAGCTGCATTTAACCAACAATTGGTTGTGTTTGACACAGGAACATAGAACTAAAAGCGGCTCCTGGACCAGTGAGCCCAGTCCCCTGCATTTGTAAGCTATCCTTAAATCAAGGGAATTCCTAAAAATATCAGTTCATTTTGGCTAATATGTGCCTGAAGATTTTACTAATTTTTTTATCCATCCCCTCAGGCCCTGTATGAATTTTATACACGTAACATGGAAGCTTCCATCAAAACTGTACCAATGACTGTTAAATATGTTAATTAACAAGATAATTATAATTCAAAACAGCCTACCTTTCAAATGTTCAATAAACAGACCTAAGCACTTTTTAAGATAAAATATGCCCCTGAGTTTCTGTTTTTGAATATAATTGAAAGTAAGACCATAAGAAAACAGGTCAGGGAAAACAAAATTCCAGTATTTTTTCTTTTTTAAATTACAGAAAAATAATGTAATCTTACCTATCAGCTATCTTATTAATATTTTTAGATGTTCATTACCATCTCACAATTTATGAGTTCTATAACTTATTAATATATCACTGACATTACTTTAAAAAAAAAAAGACTGAACTACACATAAGAACTTTAGTCAATGAGAACTGACTTACTAAGAATGCCAAAACATTGCATCTCATAAGAGTCCAAAACAAACATCTTTTCAAGTTCAAACAATTGACTACAACTTGAAACACAATGGGTGCCTTGAAAATTAAGCTTATATTTACCATGCATGGTTGCAAAGTTCTTTGAAAATGCAGTAGGTATGGCAAGATAAGAAAAGCACATTAAATTTTAATACGGCCTTGTGCTCTTTAGTTTTATTAAATTCCACTCTAGGTGGAATTTAGGTTTTGTTGGGAACAGAGTTTATGTACATATTAAAATACATTTCTGTAATGTAAAATGTAGAATTATCCAGTAAAAACATACCAACTTAAATGTATTGTCCAATTCTTTCAGAACTTTGTTTAGTCTTTTCTATCACAGGAAACAGCTTAAGTAGTGGTAGCAGCAGCAGCAGTAGTAATAGTAGTAGTATTGACAACCCAACCTACCTCTGTGTTATGTAGACACTTCTGAATAGCCTACAAGCAGCTAGAAGATAATTCAATCTCATGGCAATTTTGGGGTTGGATATTTTTTTCCTTTTACTGTTTTGAACTGGAACAAAACCAAAATATTTTGACATAATTCGTGACAAAGGAATTGTGTCAGAACGTTTGCTTTGTATCTAAACCTGAGCCTTTCAACGTGGAAACATGGGATTGTCACTGTGTCTCTGCCTCTAGGCTTAGGGTTAGACTACTGGCCCAGAACATAGTAGGAGACCCAAATTCAACCTTTGCTCTGCCCGATTCAAATTCCTCCTGAGATGGTGATGAACATTTAAAAATGAGTACGGTAACAGAAGGTTTGGGGGGGAGACGGGGCAGCGGGGAAATCAAACTTTTTCTTAAATGAAAAGAACAAAAATAAAAGAAATATAAAGCTGTAGCCACCAAGCTCTAAAAGTGAGAGCTCTTTCTCTTCTTCCCTATTAAACGCACACCACATTTTGGCATTGATGAAACAGGTTTTTAAAACAAAACTGTAGTATTTCACTGAAAATAAACTGAATAAATAAAATTGAAATGGCAGTACTCGCAATGGCACGACTGTCACAAAGTTATTTTAAAATTAAGAAACCGTAACAGTTTATAATATAACACATTATTCAAATTACACATCAGAAGCCTACAAAATCAAAATCAACTCATAAAAATACTAATACCTGATTTTAATGATAAAGACAACATACCACAAATTCAAAATAAGCATGAAACAGTCTTTTGAAATAATCTGAAAATATTGTTCCTCTCTCCTTATCAAACATACTAGACTGCGTTCCAGAAAAAGTAACATAATGATCACACTAAAGGCAAGAGATCAATACTGTTATTGTGACATTCAGTGGATGCCAAAATATAACGCGGAACTTTCTAATTTACTAACAAAAACTCAAAAACACTGTCTAGGTGTCAGGCACAAGGCTGAAAATTAGAGAGGTCCTCGATCCTAGTTTTCGGTGAACGTTTTGTTCAAGGCTAAACGCTCATGCTGTGCTATGAGCAGGTACGCAGGATCAGGGGGTGAGGTGAGGAGGGCTAAATTTCTCTCATGCACAACCCATACAGCAGGGACAGAATGATCTCCACAGCTGCTATTTCACCTATGACCCTGTTCGAGGACCAATATACTCCCCTCTCCTTAACAGGGGGTTGGAAAGGTACAGCAATGCTGTGTAATGCACATGAGGTACAGAGCACCTCACATCTCCTCACGTCTCATCTCCCTTCTGAACATAAATAAGAGCAAACTCAGTGTTCTCCTAAGGTCAGTATCAAAACTCCCACTGCTTTCAGCCCTACCTCTAACTGGTTTTACAAGTGTGCTTCAGCATTCCCCTTAACACCTGCCTCAAAGTATGTTTTAGAAACACAGTATAGATGTTGATGATTGTTCCACTCTACATAGCACACTAGAAATAAAATAGAATTGTCAAAAATAGTCTTGGCCATAGTTTAAAATGTTAGCATATACATAATTTCATTCCCTCCCTCACTTATTAAGTGTTTAAAACTAGGCAATCCTCCTCAAATGATTATTTGACACTACGTTTAATATTTTACTGCTATTGTTAGAGCCTTTTTTATTTCAATGACCAACCAATTATAGCTTATTTTGATTTACAGCTTTCTCTGTAATTATGGCCTAATCTCCGACTTGGTAAAAGCATTTTTTTTTTTTTAATTAAGCATGAAGTGTAAGCCCTCAAGAATTTTTCAATTAATAAGTTGAAATCATTCTTCCTGCTTTTCCTCCCTCCCTCCCTCCACATTTTCAATCAAATGCTGAAACTGCAAGCACCAGAGGGAAACATTATTTACTAGAACTGTTGACAGCGATCTGACATTGGACTTGATCATTTACTATTACTTGTATTCCCGCCGCACCCAAGAACCTTATTCGAGGCCCAGGAGGACCCTACTATGCCACAGGTTGAACCAAGGGCGAACAGCCGTTGCCCTAGGGCCCTGCTGCACATTCAAGTGAAAATTGGATAGAAACTAGCTACAGAGTCGTTTCCCATTTTCAAGCACTAACTTCATAAGTGGTCGTCTCTATTTATAGCCGACTACTCATTGTTTCTATGCAATAATTACTTTGCATGCATGCGTGGCGGGTCTCCGTTTATTGCGCGGTTCGCCAGTCAGCTGCATTACACACATAACGTGTCACAGTAAGACCGGACAGTCCAGATGAATGAGGCGGTAGGGAAATACAGGGCAACAAGGGCGCAGCGGGCAGATGTCCCAGCACAGCCCCGTGTGGGCAGGCCGCCGGAGGAATAAGCCGTGTCACTTCACCTGCAGCTGCCCTGCCTTACTCGAGCAACCCCCAACCTCCCCGTGCCTTAGCTCCATCTTGCAGCATGGGGGGCACCTCACTGACCAAGCTAAGGGCAAAAAAACCCCTTGTGGCAGCTCCTACCACACGGAAAGGAGAGGGGAAGGACAAGACCCTCACGCTTTCGGAGGCCCGTGGCAGGCTCTTCGCCCCTCGGCACGTGCGGCAGGGCTACCTTGCTGGCGCCCTTCCCGCTCCCCCCAACCAACGTGTGGGGCCCCGCGGACCCGGACCCGGACCCGCGGAGCGGAGCGGAGCGGGCCCCGCCACCCCATTGACGCGGCTGCAGCCCGGGGCGGCAATGCGGA